TTTTTGCTAGTCAAGCGTGGTTGTGGGAAGAGACAATGTGAAATTAGCTTAACAACCCGCAACCCTCGGACCAACTTAAAGTTTATTTTAAGTTTATTTTAAAAAGTCATTAATAAATCACCTTCATTCACAGAGTTAAATTCCAGCCAGCTTTAAAACTTAACATCAAGATGGTTTTTAAACTCTTAGAGACTCATCAAATAGAATGAATTTCTATTGGCACAAATCCCTGTTATCAAAACTAAAAAAATATTAGGGTGCTTTATGACTACTGTTTTCTTTAGATTCACTATTGTTACATCTAGTTCAACCTCAGCTATTTTACTAAGCGGTGCATCAAATTTGGATTTGTTTAGCTTTGTTTCATGAGGAGCTGAGGTAATATTTTTTTCTTACTTGAAGTCATATCCCTTCTCCCACCATCTCTCAGGAACACTTGATATTCGTGAAGAACAAAGTAACCTTTCATCTTTTGCTTCCTTACTGAGGCCTTCTGAGTACGAAAAGGAGGGGGCTATTGATTCCCCATTATCCTCTTCCAGCTTAGGTATTGTGCAAATGGATATTGCTGTTGTGGAATTTCTGAAGAAAACTTGAGTTATCAAAAATTTTAAAATAACATAAAAGTATTGTGTTTGACATCTATTAATAAAAGAAAATTCCACTTAATTCTTCTTCCTATTTTGTAGTAATATCTCTGACCTATGTTATGTACTTAACTGTCATTTCCTTAAGAAATACTATTTAGATTGGTTCTAAGTTAGCAGTGAAGATCTTGTAGGCTCAGTTAAGAGTATTATATATACAAGGGCTGTCTGGAAAGTATCTGGCCACAGTTTTCATAATTTTTCATGTTACATGGGTGGATACTTGCTGGACAGCCTTCGTATATGTTTAGTGGTTGTTGAACCTTCAGTAAACTTGAACACCGGATGCCCACAAAGTCTGGGCCGTAATGGTTTTTTTTGGCATAGTGAGGATATTATGTAAATTAGCCTACTTTTTCAGGCTTTATGAGCACCCTATAGTATTAATTCTCAAATGGGGTATATAGTAATTATCTTACGTAAAGGAAACAAAATCTTAGGAAACATTTCATGTGACTATTAAGGAAAGTATATAAGGCTGCCTATGATTTCTTAGAATTGTTTAATTGGCAGGATCTTTGAACTGTAAATTTTATAACTAAAAATAATGTAGCATAGTCAGTGTTACATTATCAGCTAAAACTGGTTTGCTGTTTACAAAACCCAATTGGGGATGCTGAGGATGCATTATTCCTCTGTTGATGGCACTTAAACAACATTCTTTCACTAAATAGAGCAATCAATTTATTTGTTTCTTATAGTGTTGTGCCATGTAGAATAGGGAGGGTATAACTGAATTTAGAATCTAGCTGGTATATAATTCAATAAAATATTGTTGTCTCTTAAACAACAACTTACTTTAAATATAGAAGTGAATTTATTTGATTCTTGTAACATTCTTCCATGTGTACTATGGCATAATACTAGGGCCTAGTTCAATTCTGTGGGAGAAATATACCGTTGAAATTTGTCATTATCTGGCATAATGAAGAGTTAAATTTTAGAGTGAGTAATGCAGTTGGTTGACATCTGTGGGGAACCATGGATAGGCTTCAAAGGGACTAGGGAACTTCCTGGAGAGTGTACTTCTTAAAGGAGGCTTCCAAAATGTTCAAAACCATTGATAGAGCAGTGATTTTTATTTTAAAACGGGTGAGGGTGGAAGTGGGCCACAATTTTGTATATGAGTATTAGAATCTTTAGGAAGATGGATAATTAGAAAATCATTTACCATTATAACATGTTTGTTTGGGGTGGGGTTGGGAGATTGAAAAAATAGCCTACAGAAAAAGAATAGCAACAAAATATTGGTACCAATGGCTAGAAGTTAGTGAGAAAGCTTTAAGAGCAAGTCCTAGTACTAATGAGGGTTATCGCATTTGCTAATTAACCTGTGAATGTTATTACCTGTTTTGCATATCTTATTTTTTATATAAGGTAAGTGTAAAGTTCATTATATTTCTATGGAGTAGCATAAAAGAAGTATCTTTGAGCCAAGAAAAAACTTCTTTTTATTGCAGCTTCTACCTAAGCTATCCCTTAATATAAGAGTTTGCCTAACTCTACAAGCTAGAAATTGTAGGATTTTGTTGCTGGAACCCATAAACGTTGGCAGCTCCTAAGCCAAATTTTTATGTACAAGAAAAAGAAAAATTACTCATATGGTGTCAGGCATGACAGTATTCTGTCACAGCGCTCTTCCTTACATACCACCATTAGCATCATTCATGCTTTGCCTTTGCAGGTACAGCCACACACACGTGTTTTTGCCATTCTTTTTTTTTTTAAATTATGATAATGTCAACTTTTAGTAGTTGCAAGTGGCAGCATAAATTCTAATGATAGGATCGTTATGTAAAGTGTATTTCTATATTGCTAAGTATGTGGTCCAGCTCACCTAGAGGGTTGTCGAACAACCCTGACTGATGATAGCCTGTACATAACAACTCGGATGACACAGTGAAAAATCATACGAATATATTTAAAGGTGCATTTTCCCTATCCTTTCTTAGATTTCTCCCTGCAAAAAGCCTATTTCTCTGTAAGACAAGAAATTGGAAATTACTAACATACAGTTTGAAAATATTGTCTCTATGAAAATTTAATATGATATAGCTTTTTAAAAAATTTGTTCAAAGTAAAAATACCTCATGCCATTGGGGAGAGTCTTAGGAATTCTTACCAGTCTGATAGAACTTGAGGAAATTGAAAAAACATCATTTCAGATTTCTGTCTTGATTCTTCTCTCAAGTTTCTAGTTGGTGACTTAGCCAAGTTTACCAATATTAAATTATTTAAAACATTAAATTTTACTCAAAAAAGTGTTTTTTAACCATTTTGTGTGACAAAAATGCCTAATCTGTCTACCAGTGAAGAAATTCTTCCCCACAAGATGTTAATGTATAGTGTGTCTGAAGATATTGTAGAAGAAACCTTTTTCCTTGAGCCTTACTGCTTACCACTAAAACTGCTGATATATTTTGGAAGCTTTGGACTCTTCACAGTAGGTCATAAAGGCAAATTTATTATAGTGTGCATTTATGATTCTTTTGTATTGTGAGTTTGTGATCAGTTTTTGTTACAAATTAAAGGGCATTTAAAAAAAACCCACTGCCTTGATTACTTGCATTATTTATCACTCATTGTTAATTTTTAAAACTCTTATCAGCAACTTGTAAGTTCTATTCAGCCTTATTCTCAAGA